GAGCCCGATGTGGGGCTCGATCCCAGGACCCCAGGATCATGACTTGAGCCAAAGGCAGAGGCTTTAACCCACTGAGCCACCCAAGCGCCCCAAACTTAACATTTCTAAACTTGCTGAAATCACCGGACTCCCCTGGCTTAAGGTGTTGCTTTTGTTCTTCCCTTCTGTTTGGGAAACATAAACTCAGTCCCCAGGAGATAGTCACTGGCAGACCAATGTCTTCTACGACCTTTGGCCGATCCCTGCTGCCTCCTCCAGGTTTGACCAGCTGCCGTACCCCTTTACCACCTGAGGCTCAAGCACATCATCCAGATTGAAGATTTAATCTGATCCCACTTCAGGGCCACAGTCTGGAGTCCAGTGATTGGGTATTCCAGAAGCATCATCAAAGGATGACAACCCTTGAGCCCCATTAGAAGGGATCCTACCAAGGATTCCTGACCACTGCCACCACTACGAAACTGGAGGCCGCTGAGCCCTGGATACACAGCCCACAGCCAGAGCAGATTCCCCCCGGCACCTGGTCTTCTGCAGATACTGGAGACCCCTGAATCACAGGGAGCAAGAGAACGATCTGGCCCCAAAGTCGACTGTTTTCTACCCAAGGCACTGATGAGCACTTAGTCCGTGAACATGAAACTCCTTCTTCTCTTTCTGTTCATGACTCTAACACCAGCCCAGAAGGGTAATTGCATCATCTGTATCTCCCAGCCCATCGCTAAGGGAGGCAAACTGGCAGATTCCTGGATTTGTAAAGTTTCGAGAGATTCCCTGGTCCCTCCGATGGCCAATTTCTCTTCTCTTCCCACGTCATCACAAACTACGGTTGACCCCTGCTTGGAAGCAGGTACCCCAGTAGGCACATTTACTCATGCGAATCTCTGTACGTTTGCACCCTCACGTGCCCGCAATTATCAAGATCAGAGCAGGACCCATCTTTGTCAGGCACTTAGGATGACCTTTTATTTCAGGCTGGGTGACTGTCTTCCCATAAGCACTAAAAAACCTGGCTGACCTCTGGTGTAGGAGTAAGTACAGATGAGACTATGATCAGAGGCTTCTTAACTCTGTAGATCCCATCGCTAAGACACAAGCAGCCCGGCAAATATCCCTAGACTTTCCGGCCAAAGTTGTTCCTGATAACAGGATTATCTTTTAGCTGAGCAAAGAGGTGTCTGTGTTATGCTGCCCGTACACCACATGCTGCCCTTGGATTAAGACTGCTGGGGAAGCTGAAACTCACTTACGTAACATCACTGGGCAAGCCACTTGGCTTAAAAGGGCGCCTCTGACAACAGGGTCATTCTTTGACCGGTTGGGTCCAGAAACCATGGCTCCAAAGTACACTCCAAACATTGGGAATGACCCCGTGTACAGTTACCATAATACTCTCCCTGGTGGGTTCCGTTCTCTCAAAAGCTTGAAATGCATGTTTGTAGCCGCTTATCACCAAGCAGATGATCTCCCTAAGTCTGGAGCATCACAAAGAGACGAAGGGAGTGACTGGCTAAAACGTGATGAGCCTGAAGTCACGACCCGTGAACACCACAGAGATTCATCAAAAGAAATGGGATCAACCAAAGCTTTTGGACCTACAGACCACCAGCTGAGAGCAGCACGAATGCCTTAAATTTTTATCACACCTCTCGGTGCCGCGGACAGTCTCCTGAAGGGGGCGGGGATGGGACTGTGACAAAGGAACAACTGGTCCAAAATGGAGTTACTTGCGTGAAGCCCCACCGAGATTAATACCTAATCGAATTGCAGTTTCAGGCTCTCCCATGAGTGGGATTTTAAACCGGTGAGTCTGGAATTTCCCGATGAGCGCCAGCGAGGCTCTGCCTGAGATCCCTGCCCTTCCCCCTAAGAAAGGTGACCTTGCCTGGAACAATCTTTTCTTTTGCAACAATTTCCTTGACCCACTCATTTCTGCCTATGAAAGCCTTCCACCTGACACAACACAACTCTTACACTGTGTTCCATCTTACACAACACAACTCTTCAGAGCTCACTTCTGTTGGTTAGACAGGATGGTGCCCAATTTGTGAGTCACTGAATAAGGCTAATTACACCTTTAAATTTACCTGGTTGGATTTTTGTTCTTTAATAGATTTTAACATGAAAGGGCACGACAATCAGAAAAGATTTGATCCGGTCCCAATACCTTTGGGATATTTACGTATTCTTTCGGTTTTACCTCTCATTTATTTGAATTTTAAAACTGGATAGATAAGTTTATGTCATTGTAACTCAGTTCTTTAATACCGTTTTACCTCCCAAATGAGCTCCTCCAAGAACAGAGAAACTCATGTGTTCCCTACAAGATGTCGCCCTAGCGACTGCCCTTTGCCGGCATCGCATCACGTCTTACGTGTCTTATGAACTGGGATGCCACAGTCAATGCAACTAAAGTCCCCCGGGTGATTCGATCTTCAGGAACTCCAAGAGTGGGATTTATAAACGTCATTATGGAACAACCCCATTGTTTCGACTCTTCCCTATGTCTAGACTGTCTGGTAAATAATTTTTTATTATAATATGCAACCCTATTTCCAAAATCTAAACATTATTTCTTTTTCAGGAGCTTAAATGTCACAAAATGTCACCATTTTGGCAAACATCTTTCCCGCTTTCACCATCAAAATGGAATACGTCTGTACAATCCCTTAAGCCTTTCAGAGTAAGTCTTCAAGAATGTATTTCTCACAAAAGAACTTCTAAGACACTTACAAATAGTAAGTTTTGCAACCACTTTTATTTTTCAATATTTAATTCGTTGAGAATTAACCTTCATTCCTTCATGTTTTGTTATTTTTGAAGTGCAACTGGGATAGTTTTATGTTACGTATTAAATTCCCATAAACTTAGATATTTTGCTCCAGAAACCATATACCAGGAAATTTTACTGAACATTATTTACATTATGTATAGGCTTCTTTAAGCATCTTGTGCTCTAAATTTGTGTCAGGCCCACATCTGAAAATAAGAATGTCATACCCACTACTGGAAAAGATAAAAAGGACCATCCTTCTGGTCTCTGGTTTCCAATCTAAAGGAGGCAATCAATGAGTGATTACTAAATGAACGAGTAGGCAAATTTGTTTTCACATCATTATCTGGGAGAAGTTTTGGACCCACTGTAAAAGAGAAGAGGTTCACAAATATTCGTCTCAGAGTTCTGCTCAGGTGTTGCATCATTATCTCCAAATTTCCAGGACTACAATGAGTATCTTCTTTGTTGGTCACTTGGCACGAGAGGTGGGTGGGCACAGAGTTTATTTGTAGTAATATTAGAGCACATACTTGTTACGCGTGTTGGTTGCTTTGTGATATCAAGCAGTGCTTATTAACCTTTGCCCTTGTTCTCTCAGACAAATCCTACAACTCTGCTGAACTGCAAAAAGATGTTTCCCAAAGGCAATTTTGAATTCTTTAACATTCATCTGTTGCTGACAAAAAAACAAACTTCCCATTTAGTTACTCAAAGAGAACCCATGATGTTATATCCATTCTGAGCATGCTGGTGGTCCTACCAGGTCACTCCACCCTTTGAACAACCAATTTATCCATAGAATTAATTGTCCCAAGAATGCTAGGAATATGATGAGTGGTTGTCCCATCTTTAGAGACATTGTGTCTACCACAAAGCCAGGAGATCCCACGTCTTACTTATTACATGTACAATGTGTGTATGTGTAACTTTCCCATTGTTGAGGTCAACATGCAAGCTGTAAGACCTTCTGGAACCTGCATTTCACCCAGACTCTGGCTTCAGTACGAGGTACCAGGTACACTGCGAAACCCTCCAGATCAGATGACCTAATCTCAACATATACACATACCTGTTCCTGTAGCTCCCTTTTAAAATTCTCATCTTGAGCTTTACATGACACCTTGGGGTTAACCAAAGGTTCGTCTGCTCTTTGCTTTTTCCACAACTTGGTGTTCAGATACCATGCTCCATATCTCATCTTCACACACTTTGGTTTATGAGGATTCTACAGGAAATAACATAATTCCCAATTTCATTCATTTTTTATATTTGTCATTTCAATAAACCTAAGATTTAGTTTCTGAAAGCAGTAACATTTATTTTTAGCTTATGATTGATCCTTGCCAAGGTATTTTATGAAGTTTCAGAATGCTTTTATTTACAAAGGTACTATGAAAAGTTCATGAACAAGAAAAAATGGATGGTTAAATATGGCCTTCGACTTAGACAAACGTGGGTTCAAGTCCAGCCTCCCTCACTTAGTAGCTATGAGTCCACAGGCAAATTACTTAATCCTTCATCTATAAAATGAAGATGGTAGTATCCCCTCCATAGGGTTGTAGGAAAGATTAAAGGAGAAAGTTACATGAAGCAGCTAGAAATCATATTAAAAAATCATATATTTCACTGAAGCATAATGACCTTAAACAATACAGAACCAACCAGGGTGCCTGGTGGCTCAGTTGGTTAAGCATCTGACTCTTGATTTCAGCTCAGCTTGTGATCTCAGGGTCATGGGATGAAGCCCCATTTCAGGCTCATCACTCAGTGGGGAGTCTGTTTCTTTCCCTCTTCCTCCTCCTCTGCCCCTCCCCCTGCTTGCACATGGCCTCCATCTCTCTCTCTCTCTCTCTCTCTCTCTCAAATAAATAAATCTCAAGAAAAAACAAAACAAAACACCAATACTCAGTCAGCCAGAATCATGAGTTATAGACTTCCTATGAACCCAGAACTGTCCTCAGCCTTATAAATGCTACACTAGTTTTGATCAAAATGCTATCCAACAGCAGCAACAACAAATATGCTCTCCAACACTAATCTCTTCCCCCTAAATGGAAGAGAAAAAGAGAAGGAAGAATAGATGTCCTTCCTGGGGCGCCGGGTGGCTCAGTGGGTTAAAGCCTCTGCCTTCGGCTCAGGTTGTGATCTCAGGGTCCTGGGATCAAGCCCCACATGGGGCTCTCTGCTCAGCGGGGAGCCTGCTTCCCCTTCTGACTCTCTGCCTACTTGTGTTCTCTCTCTGTCAAATAAATAAATTTTTTAAAAAATTATTTAATTAAAAAAAAAAATAGATGGCCTTCCTTTCTTTCTCCCATTCCTCAGTAGTGAATGAAGGACATAAAGAGATCTGTTGGGTCGTAACCTGATAGTGTGGATGTGATACCCACACACCGAGCAAGACAAAACTATGAAACCACCAAGATTCTGCCCCTCTCTCTTCTCACTCACATTTAAACCTGAAGCCGAATGTGTGGTTCATTTTAAGTCAAGTCAGATCAGCCTTATCTAAAGCAGAGAGAATGGGACAGAGCAGAGGGGAGGGAAAGCCCTCCTCAGAGCTGAACTCAGCATTTCCATCCTTCCACTTCAAACATACTGTTTAAAAATTGTAACCACCTCACAACACTCCTTGTCTTCCCTCCCTGCCACTCTTCTTAACGGGACATATCCCCATTTGACATACTAAGTAGTCTTCTGATGCTTGTCTCTCCTTTCATGCTTTAAAATGCAGGCTTCAGAGTTTGTTCCTGGATACAAGCCCCTGACATCTAGAACAATATTTTGGATATAATAGGTGCTCAATAATACTTATGGAATTAAAATTGGATTGCTTAACTTGGCATTATGGATACTTTGAGCTGGATAATCCTTTGTTGGAAGGTCAGGGAGAGTGCTCTCCTGTGCCTTGCGGGATATTTATTTTTATTTTTTTAACTATTTAAAAAATATTTTAAGATATTTTTAAAAATTTATTTTATTATTTATATGTCAGAGAGAGAGAGAAAGAGTGAGTGCACAAGGAAAGTGAAAGGGGGAAACGGAGGGCATGAAACCTATACTACTATTACCAGACAGATTTGAGTTCTGAAGCACGTCCTGTTGTTGGGTGACCAGTAGTCTCTCAAGACTCAGTACAAACACAATTTCCTTTGTGAGGCCTTCACTGAACCCACCCTTGCCCCATGCTGGGTGGAATCGATTACCTCTTCCTCTCTCTCTCTCTACGAACCATTTCATTATAGTTAATCATTTACATGTTGACCCAACTAGGCTGTAAACTCCTTAAATGCAGGAAACAAGCATTTGTCTCCGCTTCTTGGTTTGTTCCCAGCACTTTTGGGCAGCTGGCAGTAGGAAATCAGAAATGTTCGTTGAAGGATTGCATAGACAAATGGATGAATGAATATATGGGGCAAACACAGATATATGGCAGTAGGGGCCCAGGCAGCTGGGAGAGATTAGAAGTAAGAATGAATTAATGTCAACCCAGGGACCTGAAAAATCTCCACGGAAAAACTGGCATATGACCTGGGTTTAGAGGAAGGTATAAGAAGGTAGACATGGGAAGAGGGGCACTTCAGGTAGAGAGAATATTATGAGCACAGAAAAGGTTGTAGGAAAGCTCAGAGTTTTAAAGAAGACCAAAGAACAATGTAGCAGGAGTATGCGGGATAAAAATAAAGAAGGGGATTTCTGCTTCTGGAATAGGGATCAGATTTACCCTCCACATGCAGCAGCCAAAAAAGAAAAGAAAAGAAATAAGTATAAATATATATATCCATATATAATGGTTTATAAGACACTAGACATCAAATAGCAGGTACAGTGATCCCCTAAGAGACAAGAAACAAAAAAGATAAGCCCCACAATTACCCCAGATCACTATCTTTTTTAAAAAGATTTTATTTGGGGCACCTGGGTGGCTCAGTGGGTTAAAGCCTCTGCCTTCGGCTCAGGTCATGATCCCGGGGTCCTGGGATCGCGCCCCGCATCGGGCTCTCTGCTCGGTGGGGAGCCTGCTTCCTCCTCTCTCTCTGCCTGCTTCTCGGCCTACTTGTGATCTCTGTCTGTCAAATAAATAAGTAAAATCTTTAAAAAAAAAAAAGAAAGAAAAAGATTTTATTTATTTGAGACTGAGAGAGAGAGAGCACAGAGGTAAAGGGAGAAGGAGAAGCAGACTCTCTGCTGAACAGGGAACCCAGTTCAGGGCTCAGTCCCAGGACCCCAAGATCACGACCTGAGCCGAAGGCAGACGCCCAACCCACTGAGCCACCCGAGCGTTGGCCCCAGCTCTCTGTGTTGAGAGACGTTCCAGGCCACAGCGCAGGGAGAGGCTCAGGAGGAGACCAGCAGACCACGAGCTGAGTGGTTGGAATTGAGAGACCAGACCAAGATGGTTCAAGTTGACAGCAACAATTAACAGAAAGCAGAGAACTGCATGGAGAGGGCAATCAGCAGTTTGCAGACATCTTCCTCAGCATGTGTGAGAGGAAACTACCCAAGCTTAGGGAAAGAACCACCCAAAAGGATTAGAAGAAACAGGGTGCAGCATGCACACAGGGTCAGGGACAGTTTCTGTTCCCTTCCGAGAAGCCTGAAAATTCACAGGACCCTGGGTAGAATAAACCAAAGTGTCTCGTCCCTCATGGAGAATCACCCATAGACTGAACAGTCAGTCCGTGCTAACAAATTCTGAGAGCCAAGACCCAAAGGATCAAACTTTTCCAAGTAAGTTTAACTACATCCCAGTAGTAAACAGTTATTATAACTGTGTATATATTATAACTATATATAACTGTATAACTGTATTTCACATGCTTAAGATTAAGATTAAGAAGAGATGTGGAAATATTTTTTTAAAACTCGAGTTTTTAAATATTTTTAAAATGTTTTTTAAAAACTCAAGCCAAACCTTTTTTTTTTGTTTTGTTTTTGGGGGGTTTTTAAAGATTTTATTTCTTTATTTTATTTTATTTTTTTTTTAAGATTTTATTTATTTATTTGACAGAGAGAGATCACAAGTAGGCAGAGAGGCAGGCAGAGAGAGAGGGAAGCAGGCTCTTCGCAGAGCAGAGAGCCCAATGCGGGGCTCGATCCCAGGACCCTGAGATCATGACCTGAGCCGAAGGCAGAGGCTTTAACCCACTGAGCCACCCAGGCACCCCATTATTTCTTTATTTTAGATAGAGAGAGATCATGAGCTTGGGGTCCAGGGGGAGGAGGGCCAGAGGCAGAGGGAGAAGCAGGCTCCCCACTGAGCAGGGAGCCTGATGTGGGACTCGATCCCAGGACCCTGGGATCATGACCTGAGCCAAAGGCAGACGCTTAACCCACTGAGCCACCCAGGTGCCCCTCAAGCAAACTTTTTGAAATGAAAATTTTAATGTACACAATGGCTGAAAAATACACTAGAGGCGATTGATGGCTGATTAGACATTGCCTAAAGAACAGATTAGAATCTGTAAGGACAGTGATCGTAGGACAGAGAGGAAAAACGATTCCCAACTGGACGAGCAGCAGCGAGTTGTGGGACAACCCCATGCAACGTAATTACATGTAACTACATGTAATTGGCATCCTCAGAGCCCAGAGGAGGAGAGACAAAAACAGTTTTTGAAGAAATAATGATCAACATTTTCCAAATTTGATGAAAAGTATAAACCCGTGGATAAAAGAGGCTCAGCAAACTCCAGGCACAAGGTGTACCTAATAATCACACCACTCACAGCTGGCAACAGAGAGCCAAGGAGCCAAGGGAAAACACATGTCCAGAAAAACAAAGATAAGGAAGGCTAAAGATTCCTCATCAGAAACAATACAGCCAAGAAGGCAGTGGTATTAATACCACCTTTAAGGCGCAGACAGACAAAACAGTGTAAAAAGGATAAAACAGACAAAACACTGTGAGCCTAGATTTCTATAACCACAAAAGTTGTTTTAAAAATGAAGGCACAGTACGGATATTTTCAGACACACAAAAGCTGACGGAATTAATCACCAGCAGATCCACAGTAGGATTCAAGGAGGTCCTACCAGCGAAGGAAAATGACCCCATATGGAAATGTACTTGAACTTTCACATAGTGACCCTCTGTCTGCCAGTCAAAAGTTCAGTTTTGGCAATAACCAGCAGGGCTGGTAAAGCAGCACTTGTGCAATGATTTGTACATACGGGGATTGAGCAATGTGATTTGGCCCCGATCTGGGGCCAGCTGTGGTTCAGGCCTCGGGTGTGATGGACACAACCTGCCTGTCCAGCATCACGGTGCACTTTACGGTTTACAAAGATGAAGAGCAAACAGAAAATTTCAAGCGCTGCTATTAGTGTCGGAATGCATAGTTTTCCTAAACCTTATGCAATGGAGCCAAGGATGGAAAACATTGCATATGTAACCACGGATGGAAACATCACATATGTAACCACGGATGGAAACATCGCATATGTAACCACGGATGGAAACATCACATATGTAAAAGCAGGTCACTGAATGGTGTTCAGCTGTAGAGGACGAAGTTACTATGTTTAAATGTCAGAAATATAGTATCAAAGATCACAGGTAGAAGACAGAGGGTGGGATAATATATTGTTTTTCACTTTCAGAGAAAGGAACTTCCCCACCCTCACACCCCAGGCTTGGACCACCAGTTAAGTACTTAAATCTGTTATTGAACTTGGGAGGCCTGGGTGGCTCAGTTGGTTGAGCCTCTAAGTCTTGGTTTTGGCTCAGGTCACGATCTCAGGGTTGTGAGATCGAGCCCCAGGTTGGGCTCTGCGCTCAGCACAGAGTCTGCTTCAAATTCTCTCTCTCCCTCCCCACCTCTCTTGCAAATAAATAAGTAAATAAAATCTTTTAAAACAATCTGTTATTGGACTGATACAATTTGATTTGTGTAAATATGTATTTGTAGCTGTATATCGTGTAAAAAAGTAGAAAAGCACTTAAAAGTCCATTCTACTTCCCTTTGGAACACAGTGTGCTTTTTCTCCTCTGTTTCCGTGTTCTTCTACCTTCATGGGCAAATGGTATAGAAAAACTGAGCGATTTGTTAGTAATCCACAAGCATGTGCTCAAGAATGATTGTCTGTGGTCAATAAGACTCCCCCCAACACTCAAGAATTCTTTGGATAAAGAATAAACAACTTTCGTGATCATTAACTGTAGCATTTAACTCTTAGAATAATAAACTGTCATGTATATTTCCATCAACTGTTAGAATTTCAACATGTAAAACACATAGTGATAACAACAACTATTCAGATATTAATAATAATGCTGGGGGTGGCTGGGTGGCTCAGTCAGTTGGGCCTCTGTCTTCAGCTCAGGTCATGGTCTCAGGGTCCTGGGATCGAGTCCCGCATCGGGTTCTCTGTTCAGCGGGGAGCCTGCTTCTCCCTCTGCCCCTCCCCGTGCTTGTGCTCCCTCTCTCATGCTCTCTCTCTCTCTCAAATAGAAAATAAAATCTTAAAAAAAATAATGCTGAATGCTATGCCTTGTTTATGTAACTAGCTTTATTATATATATTAAATATTCATTGATTTAACAAATATTTACTAAACACCAAAAAATTTTTCAAGAATTCTACTGAAAAAAGGCCACTGCCCCCTTGAAGTACCAGAATTCAAGAACACTTAAGATTTTAATCCTACTTAATTTTCTTTGATTTTCAGTCTTCTCCTCTTTGGCAGTTACCTGTGGTTTTTGGAGTTTCTGCTCATAGTCTGGTTTTTGGAAAACCGGTGGTTCCTGCAGTTTCTTTAACGCCACTTTCTTCTTTAGCTCTGGAGGAGCCTGGCTGATCGTGTGGGGCACATCACGGCTGGGTTTGCTCTCACAGTCAATGTCAAACTGCTTCAGGATGAACTCTTCATCAATGTTGGAACTTCCCTAGAAGAATATCACATTGCATGAGTCAAGGACAAACGGTGAAATTCTTCTTTAATCTAATGGAGGTATTTGATTATGGCTAAGAAGAGGTCGTTTGGAGGACAGGTAGAAAATGCTCGGTCAGCATTCACTGGGAACAAGAAGTATTGGGGCTCTGGAGGACTTTGTCGGTGCACTACAGGACAACTCAGGACAGCCAGGAGCAGCGAGTCCCTGAGGGAATTAATGGGCTGAGACAAATTCAGTCTGCTGAATCCTAAGCAGATTTCTGAGTGCATAAAGAATACATGGTGTGTACACGTGCACACACACACACACACACACTCTCACACACACACACAGAAGAATATTGCTCAGCCATAAAAAGAATGAGTTCTTGCCATTTGTGACAACATGGATGGATCCAAAGGGTATTATGCTTAAATGAAATAAGGCAGAGAAGGACAAATACGACATGACTTCACCTGTATTTGGAATCTGAAAAACAAAACAAATGAAAAAGCAAACAAGAAAACAGAAACAGACTCATAAACACAGAGAGCAAACTGGGGGTTTTCAGAAGAGAGGTGAGTAGGGGAACAGGTAAAATGCGTGAAGGAGATTGGGAGGTAAAGGTTTCTAGTTATGGAATGAATAAGTTATGGTGATAAAAGGTACACCATAGAAACACAATCAGTGGTATTGTAATAGTGTTATATGGTGACAGATAGTAACTACACTTGTGGTGAACACAGCATAATGTATAGAACTGGCAAATAACTATGTAGCACACCTGAAACTGGAGTCAGATAAATAGGTTCAGATAGAGGAGAGCAGCAAAGAGGCAGAGAGAATACCTCGAAACATTTTAGGACCTAGATCTAGCTATACCTGAAGCTCCTAGGACCTCAGGATGGTTCCTTTCTCTCCCTTAATCCAGTCTGAATTATCTTTCAATCACTTTCCAATGAAGTAGTCCTGAATAATACATTGGCTAAAACTGACTAATGTTTTCAAAAAACAGGAGGGGAAGATTATATATCCTAGAAGGTCTTAAATCCAGGAGAAACCTAAGAAGACATCTGCAGGGACTTAAGAATACAAATAGGAATTTAAATGGATTCTTGGAAGGAGGGCAAGGAAAGACTTTAAGAACTAACAAAAGTACTCATGTCAGAAATATCTTTTGTGAAGGTTGTGGTTAAACATAACTGTCTGAGTACTTACAGATAAATATAACTGAGAAAAATGAGTTGAAGGAGTGAAGGACTGAGAAAAAAAGGACAAGGAAATGGAAAATAAAAATATGAAATAACAGGGTGGGGGAAATGAGTAGTTATTGGCCAAAATATATAAACTTTCAGTTGTAAGATGAATAAGTTCTGGGAATCTGATGTACAGCGTGGTCACTGTAGTTAACAAAATTGTATTTATACTTGAAAGTTGCTAAGAGAGTAGATCTTAAATGTTATCACCACACTCAAAAAAGATAATTATGAAAATGAACTACTGGGACTTCATCAAGATCAAAAGCTTTTGCACAGCAAAGGAAACAGTTAACAAAACCAAAAGACAACTGACAGAATGGGAGAAGATATTTGCAAATGACATATCAGATAAAGGGCTAGTGTCCAAAATCTATAAAGAACTTAGCAAACTCAACACCCAAAGAACAAATAATCCAATCAAGAAATGGG